ATGATCTGATGTGAACTCTGAGTTTCAAATTATCTGAGACAGCAGCTCTTGACTGATAAGAATTAGACATGATCTCATCTCTGAAAAGAGAGGACTAATGTAGCAGGCTGTGACTGATCAATTATATGGACTATTTCATTACTCTTCATAGATTTTACTGAAAGCTTTAATTCTCAGTCATTAATTCTCAGCTGAAAAAACTCACAGAATTTCTATTCTTTCACTCTGAAGCTTCAATATGTACGCTGCATATCTGTTCAAGAATAGAGAGATAAAAATAGTGAGATCTTCAAGTTATGTGAATAATATTAATATAGTCAACAGGTCAAAAACAATCAAAGAGAATTTAAAGGTGATTGAAAAGACAGTAAAGAAAATCTTTGTTAGAGCAGATATCAATCAAATTCAATATAATATGAATAAAACTGAGTTAATTCTTTTGTTCCAAGATTCAATGAGAAAACACTAAGTTTAACTATTTTAAATACGGAGATTAAACTCAGTTTGAATATCAAATGACTGAGAGTATGATTAAACTTTAAGTTGAATTTTAAATATCATATTTAACGTAGAACTATCTAGACTGGCCGCCGGGATCATGAATTTCACATTTGATCTCATTTGATCTAGTCTCATACATTTCTTGATGTGAATCCCGCTGGGACTAATTATTAAAAAAACATGCAAAGTGACTATATATCAGATGACAAAGTGAGATCATGACTTAGAAAAGTAAGAAAGTGATTTCATTTGATCTCATTTAGTTTCATTCTTAGCATAAAGTGACTATTTTTAGATATTTTAAGGTTTTTTTAGACTATTTTTAATTTTTTAAAAAGTAATGCTTTTTGATAACACTTAAATGAGATTTAAAGTTATTTAAAGCAATAAAAATAATTTAAATTGAGAAGTGAAAATCATGATCTTATTTGAAAAATATGATAAGAGTAGATAGTAAGTCTCACTGAGAGAGTATGAAACTACTATTTAATGTTAAAATCATGCAATGAGATCAGTTGAATTGATAATGAGACTATCAAATATTTTGATTCTGGTTTCAGACACGGTCACACGATCAGTGTAGAACTATCAAGACAGAAAGACTATTGAATAGTATAATCAGACTATCAAATACAAAGAGAAATCTATTCTTTCATACTATAAGACAGTTATACATAGCTTGTATTATCTCAGTAGCTGATTGTGAAGTTCAAGTTTGATGAAAGAATTAAGGAAATTTCACTGAACTCTTTCAAAGTCTGTAAAACAGAGCTTTGAAAAAAATTCTGAGAGTATTCAAATCATCTTCTATTAAAGCAATGAAAATTGAAGCATCACTTCTTCATTCTGTTACTAAATTTGACAAGGTCTGTAGAAACTATACACTGAGAGTCATAAAGATGAGCTTAAATCATATAATCAGACAAAGAGTTTCCTCTTTATTTTTATCAATCAACTCAGAAATTAAACTGAAGTGAAATAGATTTCTTGATTGAAGTGAAAGTAATTCTTCAAAGAAAATACTCTCTCAACTATACAGGCTATATTCACTGATTAAAAATCAATTTTCTTCATTAAATGTTGAGAAAATCAATCATGAGAAGATATCTCTCTGAAGAGAAAAGCTGAAATATCTTATAAACTTGTGAATAAGTGAACTATCTAAAGAGAGAGAATATGAACAGTATTTGAGAAAGATCTCTATAATTAATATACAAGACTATATTCTGATTTACTCAGATGACCCAAAAAATGAAAATCTGAATAGATTAGATACAGGCATTACTTATACTGAATATAATATCAATTTTATCACAGATTTCTGAAATTTAGACTGTGAATCTGAAGTTTTTGATGCTGAACTATTTGCAATAGTGAAAGCTTTCAAACTTATTAAAATAAAATCTCATAAAAGAGAAACTAGTTTGAAAGATGTATGAATATTCTCTGATAGTCAAGCTGCTTTAAAAAAGACTTGGAAATAGTCAGATATATAATGATCAAATAAATCTTAAACTGATTTTAAATTCTGTTATAAAAATTTAAAAGAGAAGAATATTAAAACTGATAATTCATCTGCACCAAGTTTCTGCACTAAGGTTCTCCTCATATGAATATTCATAACAATGAATTGACTGATTGAGCTGTAAAAAAAAGTTCAGAATTAAGCAGATCTATTTAAAAAACAGTGTTCTGCTCTTTTATAAAAAGAAAGATAAAATAATCTTGCTTTAATAAGTGAAATGAAAGCTGACAGAAACAAAAGAAGAGTATATATTATTTAAGATTTGAAATAAAATCTAAGTGAAAATCTTGTTTAATAAAATGTAAAAACAAAGTATTCTCATCTATAATTCAGCTGAAACTAGAACTTGATTATTTCAATTCTTATATACAAAGATTTGATAAGGGATTTGATTCAACAGAATACTCATTCTGCAATTCAAATGAAAACTCTGACCATATTATCATGCATTGTGTATTATACAATAGTCTCAGAGTCAGATTAATAGAGAAGTATGCTTTAAATTAATTAAATACAAGATTTCTATTCTTTACTGAGATAAGAATTAATTACTTAATAGACTTTCTATCAGAAACTCAAGCAGCTACAAGAAAATAACTAAATTCAGAACTGTCTGAATATGAAGAGGTGGAAATTAATCAGATATAGTCTGTTAAATCAGCTATACACTCTCTTTAAACATGTTTATTTTATTATTATCTTTTCTTACAGTTTCTTTTCTTTTCTTTTCTTTTCTATCTACTGTGTCTATCTTTCAGACTTTGTTTCTTTTCCTATATCATGTTACTTTCTAAATGGTTTTAAAAGTATCAGAAGATATTAAAAATACTGTAATTTATAAAAGGTTTTTGCATTCTGAGCTGGAATTTTCTACTTTTACATATCTGAAATTGATAAATGTATAATAATTATCCTTACAAATAGGAGAAAAACTCTGAGAACTACAAGTTTTCAGGTACATGTTATAGTCTCTGACTGTATACATCTATAATGAAAGAATAATAATAATAATAATAAAGCTTAATAGCTCTGACAGATTATCTGACTTAATATAACTTATACTTAAATTCTCATTATATACAATAGTCTTATATAATATATACACTTTTAAAGAGATTATGAATAATTATAATAAAATCTTCACATTTAATATAATTGTCTGTCTGTATAAGTATTTAATCTCTTACTACAGATTTATAATCCGATTTTCTCTTTTCTTATTAATAATAATAATTGTATTAATGAAGCTCTTTATAATGAATACTTAATCTATACTGAATATTAATTATTACTTAACTTTCACTTCAGTCTGTCACTGTGTATATTAAACTTCAATTTTATTTAAATTTCTTATATATATATAAATCTTCACTTTCAGTTCTGCAGTCTCAGCTGCTTTTCTTACTACTTTAAGTAAATCTTTTAAGAGATTCTGTATATCTTGTGATTCAGATAGTAGAGAAGAGTATTATTCATATTTACTAGAAGAGATATTCATTTCAGAAGATTTTTATTAATTATACAGTGTCTATTATTCTATATTTTCTGTTACTCTTATACAATTCTGATAATAATTATCACTCTTTTATTCTTCTGAGTAAAGAGTAGATTTCTTTAAATTAGTATTCATCACTTCTATCTTCTTTTTCTCACATTCTTTCATGTTTATATATATAGTATTTTTCTGAGTGTGAAGTTTTCTCTTCATAAGCAGAGCAGTATTAATCACATACTCTTTCACTCACTGCTTCTTTATATACTGTTACTCTGAGGTATTTTAGAATCACTCTAACATGATAACTATAAATTGCTTTATAGATAAAATTATCACACTTTGAAGAAGTCTGTACTTCTCACGGATTTTTAGCCATGCTATCAGATATAATTCAAAGATTTCTTAAGTTATTGTAAGATTGTAAATGTATATTAACTTCTTGTATATAAATTAATTAGTAGCTGCTAGAGTCTCTTTACATTTGTAAGTATTATTCAGATGTAACTGTATTATTATTCAGCAGCTGTATATTCTTCTGAACTATATTAATATATAGTTTTATCTCATTTAAAACCTTTAACACAGTTTATATATACTTAGTGTATTTTTTTTTTCACAGAGTACATTATCACATCATTCAGATATATTACTATAACAATATTCAGATTTGTATAAGGTATTTTATTAATACAAGACTGAAATACTGCAGAGATATTTATTAAATGAAAAAATATTATTAAATATTCAACTACTTTCAATATAGTTTTAAAAACAGTTTTTTATTCATTTTTAAACTGTATTCACAGCTATGTATATATATTAATTATATTTAGTTATGTAAATACAACAGCTTCTGTGAGATAATTAATTACATTCTTGATTAAAAACTGAGAGTAATAACTCTTTATAATCTTAAAATTCAAAGTATAATAGTTTATACACAATCTGAGATCTTTATTATTTTTGTTTATAAATATTATAGATACTTTTATAGAAGTCTGTGAGAGTTGAATAAAGTTATTCTTTAAATTCTTCTTCATATAAGTCTGCAGATTTTGTGTTTTATTATAAGAGAGTATATAAATTAATTTTCAGAAGAGTTTCTACTTTTCTATTAAATCTATTATCAGATTTTCTCTAAATGAGCTAAAAGCTTAACTGTTTTAACTGAACTGAATATGTCTGCAAGATCTCAGTATTTCTCTGATATCTGAAGCTCGGTTTTTATAACTGTGAAGTTTTCAGATATTTATAACATTATTATATAAATGAGTTTATCTTCTTTAATTAACTCTGCAGTATCAACTGATTTTTTCTCTGTGAGTAAGTCTGTTAATATTGATCAGAAGTATAAACCTGATTCATAATCAGTGATATACAAATTATATTTTTGAAATTATACAAATCTCAGATATATGTTATTTGTGATATCTGTGATAATTACAGTTTTCACGAATTTCTTTTAAGTTTCAGAGAGATTTTGCAGTTCAAAGATAATTTCTGTGAGTTTTTCAACTCTCAGATCTGAGTTCTCATGTCATCTATTATAATAGTAATATGATTGTATTTTGAGATTTCATAATTCTATTTTAAAAGAAGAGAATGATTCATTTTAAAACTCAAATATTGTTTTCAAATCTCAGAAGATATTATATATACAGTGTTGAGTAGTTTGAATGCTTCATATTTCATCGTAATTGACTTTCTTGTCGCATTGAGAAAAGCACGGCCTAAGGCACTGTACAATAGTGACCTCTATCGCATGGCTCAAAATCTGGACATGGCCAACGAAGTCCTAGTAGTCGCTGCAATATAACGGACAAGCCACACGCGCTGGTTCGCGGAAGGCCATTAACAATCATTGTATAGACCGTATCTCAGCATAATCATTATGTGACTTCCATTTAGTTGGGTAGGGAGAAGGACACTGAAAGGCTAGCAGAAAAGACGTTGCGCATAAGGGACGGACATAAAAATTTGAAAACTGGTTCCATCGAACTTAAGGGGACAAAGTTGTAACGATGGGAGCGGGTTATAAAAAAGAAAAAGAAGAAGAAAAAAAAGAAAAGAAATAAGGGAAATGAGAGAAACGGCTCGCCAAGCAAATAAGACGATAACCGAAACGGAAACACAAACCTGGGGTATACGATCATGAGCATCTCATAGAAGAGAGGGGCGGAAATTGTAAGGAAGCGAAGACGCGAAATAAACATACTGTACAAAACAAAGTAAAAGACAAACGAAGGCAGAAAGAGGGCAAGGGCCAAAAGAGAGGCACGAAACGAATAATATAGTCTGAACGCGGTGTAATTCAGAAGTTAGGTGGCGGTACGGTACACAAAAATGGTGTTGCGAACGAGGGAGAGCCGGAGGAGTACGGGGAAAACAAACACGTTCGTCTAGGATATAGCGAAACTTGTGCGTGGGAGAGGTCGTTCATTAGTTACATGGCCAGAAATTTCCCACTAATTGGCCTTCGCTTGGCCATTCCCGACCAGATTTATACTTGGCTCATCTGTTCTAGTCACCTGGATTTCATTCTCACTATCGTCGGTACTAGGGACTTCTCCCCATCCAGAACTTCGTCGGCTTGCTCGCCCTGGCAGGCGGGGCATGGATGAGTTGCCTATTGTATTTCCACCAACACTGCCAGCCGCGCTATCATTCCTCTGGTGGTGGGAATGATGACTGCTTGTACCACTGCCCGTATCGCCCAGATGAGGCCAGCTGGGTTGATAGCTAGTCCTCTCACCAGTGGTAGGTCCGGAATAATATACACTGCCTCGTTCAGCATTGGCTAGGGCAGGGCGGTTCGGTGCTCCTTGCGTGTTGGTAATTGATGAATTAGATGGTTCTACTCCAGCTCCTCCTATATTACCCATATTTCCACTCAGAACGCTTAATGGTAAGCTCTCACCGCTACCGCTGAAGATCGATGATGGAGCCAAAGCACGAACGGAAGCGTTGGTATCTAGGGAATTGCGACGGCGGCGTTTGGAGGATGATGCCAGCGTAAGAACAGACGCATTATCGGTGAGGAGATTATTTGCCGTTGCGGAGTTATAAGTGGTTGGATTGGGAGAGAGATGAGCGGGAACTGCGGTAGCGGGGGACATATGAAATTGATGGCTAAACTGGACGCTGGTTTGTTGGTTGTGACTGTAAGAAGTGCTGTGGCCGAAAATTGCTCCGTGGACTTGATTTGATGGAGCGGTGGATTGGACAGTCGTAAGAGTTGTGGTAAGTGAGCGCACGGATGGAGCAGGTGAGGAAAATGTACTGCCTTCTCCTCCACCTTGTGAGCCCACTGCCCAACCCGTAGTTACCGTTGTGCCAGTCTTAGAATTAGCAGTATCTGACACAGTCGTGTCCGCATTTGTAGAAAGCGTAGGAGCAGCGGATTTCGTGCCCACCGTTGAAGCCCGTTGCTCGAGACCAGTTTCGGAAAACGAACGCTCTGAACGGGGATGATGACTGAGCCGGTCACTAGTGGGCTCAGAGAAAGATAGATGACCATTGCCCATATTGCTCACATTCCCTGACAGCGGATACGGGTTGTTTTTGATATTGGTCGCCTTCTTGGCCTTTGGGGTACTCAAGGTTCCATTTTGTTTGTTCGAGGAGCTGGGGTGGGAACCGGAGTTCTTGAGACTGGCAAGGCGCTTCATCCAATTTGCGAAGGGGCGGCGACGACCATGTCGATCTTGAATATGTGAGCAGAGGGTCATAAAAAGCCACTCAAAATGCCAACTTGATGGTGTAAAATCAGGCAATACAAACTTACCATGGTGTCGAGGGGACACTTCAGTCGAGGCCATCTGTACGAGGCGTATATTCACGCTTCAACGTTGGCAAACTGCTTGCCCAAGCAACCGAAGTCGTATCAAGAAGGAACTGAATATCGAGAAGAGGGGAACCTTGCACTATATAAGCTTGAGGCTGGGAATTCGCCAGCCTGGTACCTATCTGAGGCGCAGTCAATAATGAGCGGCCTCCACGCTTTTTTACCAACTTCTATACCGGAAAATCCCACGCCCAGTTATCGAGGAAAGAGCCGTGTATTATTGGTACTATAGACGCCACTCTTACTGCTGGTGTTGACGGTCGTGGTGCAGGTGAGGTTGATTCAAACGTCGTTGCCTGTTCGTCGAAGTCGTCATTTATGTCTTACCTCATCGGTTGACTCTGACTAATGCATTTTTGCAGGATACTGGTAGTTAGAGCGTATTTTACTAGGTCTAGGCACATCAACAGCCACAATGGGGACAGAAATTACGTAGTGGGGCTGTATGAAGGGCGCTACCAAAAGTATTACAGCAAAAAGAAAGCTAGACAGCATCACAAATGTTAGTGAAAATTCACACTGTATTTTATACTGAATATTCAGTTCATGATTATTTCATTGTATTATTCTATTCTCATTCACTGTTATGTAATGTGTAATCTGTCTCTTATTTCATACAAGCCTCAATCACTCACTTATGCTTGCTTATTTAGCTTGAAAAATATAATATTTAATCTCTCAAGTGAATGTAATAAGATATATTAATAGCTGTATATAACTTATATAGATGAATTCTATGCAATTCACAGTTATTAATAAAAAACACTGTCATACATAGACTGATTACTGAGATTATAAATTTCATATTTAGTCTTATTTAATTTGATTTTATATATTTCTTAGTATAAATCTCACTGAGACTAATTATGAAAAAAACATGTAAAGTAACTATATATCAGATCTCAAAATGAAATCATAACTTAGAAAAAATAAGAAAGTAATATTATTTAATTTCATTTAGTCTTATTCTTATTATAAAGTTACTATTTTTAGATATTTTAAGGTTTTTTAAACTATTTTTAATTTTTTAAAAAGTAATCCTTTTTGATAACACTTAAATGAGATTTAAAGTCACTTAAGGTAATAAAATAAATTTAAATTAAGAAGTGAAAATCATAATCTTATTTGAAAAATATAATAAGAGTAAATAGTAAGTCTTACTGAGATAGTATAAGACTACTATTTAATCTTAAAACTATATAATAAAATTAATTAAATTAATAATAAAATTATTAAATATTCTGATTCTGATCTCAGACACAGTTACACAGTCAGGCTAATTATTATAATACTTCTGTTTTTATCTCAGTTTTATCTTATTTCATTTTATTAAAAAATGATTGTATAATTCTTTTTAACATAAAAGAATTAACTTATTTTACTAGAGAAACTAACACTTTTAATATCTTCAAAGTTTGAATCAATTTTAACTTTGAAATATAATTAAATACACTTTTTATATCAAGAAAAACTGCAGTTGAGATTATATTTTCATACTTTATTATGTGAAAATTATTAACAACTGAAAGAATAGTGTTAATTACAGAATATTATTTTTCATTTCTCATTTATTCATTATATAGAAGGGAATTATTAATAAAGCTTATAAAAGATAATCTAGTAACTAGACTAACTGTGTGATCATGTCTGAGATCAGAATCAGAATATTTGATAATCTTATTATTAATTTAATTGATTTCATTACACAGTTTTAACATTAGATAGTAGTCTTATACTGTTTGAGTAAAACTTACTATCTACTCTTATCATATTTTTCAAATAAGTTCATGATTTTCACTTCTTAATTTAAATTCTTTTTATTACTTTAAATGACTTTAAATCTTATTTAAGTATTATCAAAAAGTATTACTTTTTAAAAAAACTAAAAATAATCTAAAGAAAACCTTAAAATGTCTAAAAATAGTAACTTTATACTAAGAATGAAACTAAATAAGATTAAATAAGATTATTTTCTTATTTTTTCCAAGTTATGATTTCATTTTGAGATCTGATGAATAGTTACTTTGCATGTTTTTTTAATGATTAGTTCTAGCAGAATTCATATTAAGAAATGTATAGAATCAGATCAAAAAAAATCAAACATGAAATTTTATAAGAATAAGTACTTGCAGGCAATTATTCAGGTGTTTGCAGCTTGGCATGATATGTACTGTTAACTACTAGAAGTATTCACAGTAGAAAGATACAATGTAAAGATTAAATGTATAATAGTATTCAAGCTGAGTTATAAATAGTATTCATAAACTTCAGTCTATATAGTTATATGTAGTCAAGAGTCACTAACTTTATTGATTACATAAGAGATAGAAATAGAGATAAAGAATTTATAAGAAGTGAGATTTCTTATATACTCTTTCCTCTCTAAGACTTCATCTGTGAAGCCTTTCACTGAGTAGCCTGACTATGTGAACGTGTCTGGGACCAGAACTAGATTTTTTGATAGTTTCATTATTAATTCAACTGATCTCATTACATGATTTTAACATTAGATAGTAGTCTCATACTGTTTCAGTGAGACTTACTGTCTACTCTTGTCACATTTTCCAAATGAGATCATGATTTTCACTTCTCAATTTAAATTATTTTTATTGCTTTAAATGACTTTAAATCTCATTCGAGTATTATCAAAAAGCATTACTTTTTAAAAAATTAAAAATAGTCTAAAAAAAACCTTAAAATGTCTAAAAATAGTAACTTTATGCCAAGAATGAGACTAAATGAGATCAAATGAAATCACTTTCTCATTTTTTTCAAGTCATGGTTTCATTTTAAGATCTGATATATAGTCACTTTACATGTTTTTTTAATAGCCAGTCCCAGCGGGATTCACGCCAAGAAATGTATGAGACCAGACCAAATGAGATCAAATGTGAAATTCGTGGTCCCGGCGGCCAGTCTATCACTGAGTGACTTTATAAAATCAGCTCAGTACTGCAGTGATACTTACTAAAAACTCTTCATATCTATAAAAAATCTCAGTAAGGAAAAATCTCTTGTTACTATGAAGAAAAAAGAGTCTATCACTCAGTTTCTTATTTCATAAGATTCTTTATAGTCTACAGATTCTTCTCTGACTATTACACAGATTCATCTCATATCTTTCATATAGAAGAGTTCTGATTGACTCTCAATTATTTTCACAAGATTCTTGTGTGACTATCACACAAATTCATCTCACAGATGAATCACTCTCTGTGAGATTATTCTCATTAAAGAGAAGTATTTAAAAGTTAATCTTTCACTCATTCTTACAAATCATTGTTCTTTGACACTGTAGAATTGTGAGGAATTTTTCATTCTTTCATCAACTCTGTAGAATTGTAAAATCATGATATTTACAGTCTACAATCACTCTTTATAATTATATAGAAAGATTCAGGTCTGTAATTCACAATCACTCTTTGTTTACTAGAGTGATCTGACTGTTTCATAGAATTATTCATAGTGTAAGCAAATATCTCTAGAGTAGTATTAATATCTTAGATCTGTCTATAGAATCTCATCTTCTTTTTTCTTTTTCTATAACAGCTCTCATTCTTATATACTATGAGTATTCTCATTCATCTGTAAAGTGTTTTCACTCAGATAACAGAGAGAGAGTGTTTCTAACAATATCTATATATTAATTCAAGAACTTCTCAAGAATAAAAGTTTTCTCAATTTCAATATCTTTATAAATAATATCTGACTGTCACTGAGCTTTTTATAGATGTTTCTGTAACTTCTCTGATTACTTTTTACTAGCTGATGAAGCAGGAACATCACTGTTCACAACAGTATCTTTATCTCTCTCAGCTCTGTCACTGTATCTGATCTTCAGATCAGCAGTTAATCTCATATCTTTCTCAGATCAGCTTCTGACTTTAAGTAATGCAGTTTTATTCTTTACTATAAGTCTCTTTATAAGTAATTTCTTACAGATTCTAGCTAATAGTTCTTATAAAGCTCTCAGTGTTATCAGTGTCTTCTGCAGTTTCACAGATCTATAATCATCTCTCTTCTACTTATGCAATCTCTGATAAGGTATATGCAAATATATCTAGATTTTTTATCAATGATTCTTACACTGCAGTGTATTTCTGCAATCTCATTGTCAATGAGAGATGAGTCTCTGAGTATCTGTAAATTTCAGATAATTAAGATAATGCAAATGTCATGAATTTGTGACAGAAGTTAATCTGAATAGATGAGCTCTCTCTCTATATCTTAATTATTTCTGAGCTGAGTACTTCAGTATCACTGAGAGAGTAAATATAGCTTTATAAGAAGTATTTAATTATATATACAGATGATCAGTTCTCAAGACTCTGCTGCAACTGTATGTATTCTGATATTCAGCTTCTCTGAAGTCTGTGCATTTCTGACAGTCTTCATATCAAATGTAATAATTATCTGTACTACAGATATAATACTCTCTGCTTCTTTAAAGAGAAAAATTGATAGTCATGAGAAGATTGAGTGTTACAGATATTGAGAATATAAGTATGAATTTTCTTTATTTTTTCTTTGTTAATCTCTAAATTGTGTTCACAGCTCTGTTTTTATTTTCTTGTTTTTTAACTTTAATAAGAATATGATTTCTTCTTCTCTTTTCATACACTGCAGACTGTTTATCTCAGTAGAAATCTATTATCTTATAGACTAGAATTTGCAAATAACAGTGTTAATGTCTTTATCATAATCAGATTCTTAGTGAAGATCACATTATTCTGACTTATCAGAATTCACAGTATAAAAGTTATATCTCAGCTTTTACAGATATTTTATCTGCTCAGATAATTCTTAAGTAAACTTATTCATCTTATCAGAATACTTTTATTATTGAATCTTGAATCAGAGATCACAATCTCACTTCTCTGAGTTAATAATTTCTTTAATCTGATATTCTCTTTCACTCTCTACTACTTTATAAACAGAGTGATAAATCACAGAATTCTCTTCTAAGAATTTCTTATATTCACAGAGTAAAGAGATATAAAAAATATTATATATTTACAACTCAGATAATAGTTTCAATCTATAGAACTGTAAACTAACTTTCTTTATAATCTTATAAGACTCTGTCTGCAAAAGATTCAGCTTCTTACTGAATCTTCATATAATAATGTTTTCTAGACTCAGTCAGACTCTATCATCTTTTTTAAAACTCTTTATAATATACTTAAAGTTATAGTATCTCATCTGATACTCTGAAGTCTTTCTTAAGAATTTACAAGCTTTCTCTTAGATATTCTGAATTCTCTCAGTCTGTTCACAGACATTATTACACTCTATAGTATACTCTCACAGATTTTTCAAGATTATCT